ATGGGAGCAAAGAGAGTGAATGGGTCGGGAGATGGGGGTGGTTGTGACTCAGGATTAAGCATGGCAAAGACGGAGGCTGAGGCATTCTGAAGTGCGTGAGGGAAGGGGTTTCTGGGGAGAGAAAACAGCATGTGCAAAGGCCCTGAGGTGGGAAAGAGCTTAGCTCATTGGGAGGAGTGAAAGTACAGTGTCAGAGTACAGTCGCAGGGGGCGGGGGAGGGTGACTGGTAGGCATTCAAACAGTCCAAGGTGGAGCCTAGGCATTGGTATTGTTTAAAGTACCCCAGGTTATGCAGCCAGAGTTGAGAACCACTGATTTAGACCTATTTCCAGGTGATACTAGTTTGGGGCGCACACTTTGAGAAACATGCTCTAGATGATTCTAATGAGTAGCCAAGGTTGAGAACCATTCACTGAACAGCACAGGGCCATGGCTTCAAAGTGTGACTGAGGAACAGGCAAGGCCCTGGTCTCCTCTCAGGGAACCGGGGCATGGGAGTAGCTTCCACAGGACAGAGGCGAGGGAGAAGGGAGCATTGGTTGGGAAAGAATGAACTTGGGTGAGGAGCAGCAAAGGTGGAAACTAAAGGGGGGCTTTATCCAAGGGGCAGGCGGAGGAAGAAGGGCTAGAAACCTGGCACTGAGTCCAGGGCACAGTGGTGCAGGAAGGAGCAAAAGGAGGCTGATGGGGAGGGGGGGATGGGCAGAACTGCAAGTGGGGCTCCCGAGGTTCAAGGCTCACAGCAGCCAGCTGTCCCATGCTGGTGATGGCAGCTCATTATTCATTGTTTAGTTTACACTTCACCCCCACTCTCCAAAAGATGGGTGGCCAAACTCTGAAATACGGAAGTATGGAAGGTGACGCGATGGTGTGTGGTGGGGGAAGGGGGACAGGCTGAGCACGGGGTCAGAATTTACTGAGCTGACAAGGTTGTCAACATCAAGTGAGGTCCCGAAAGCCTAGGGCAGTGTGGCAGAGCCAGGGTCATATACCGTATGGTGCAGAGCTGGGGGGAGCGGGGACTGGTTAACATCTACCCAGCACCCACTATGTGCCAGATAGCATGCTTGCACTTCCTTTCTTTCTCATTTAATAATGCAAGGCCTGGTGGGCCATGGGAAAGTTTGGATTTTCTTCTTAAATGCACTGGGAAGTCACTGGAGGGTTTTTAAGAGGGAAGTGATGAGAGTGATGTAGTTAAGTCATATAAGATCAGTACTATGACCACTCCATTTGATAGGCCAGGAAACTAGAAGTTAGCTAGTCCAGGATCATGCGTAAGGAGGCGGTGGCAGAACCCAGATTGAAACCACGCCCCCTCTAAGATAAAGCAATTCGGGCAAAATGTTAACAGTTGGTGAGCACAGGTTAGGGGTCTAGGGTGTTCACTGTTCCCTTCTTTCAACTTTTCTATATGTTTGAAAAATTTTGTAAAAAAATTAGAGAAAAGAACCAGGTCTAACTCCAAAGCTGAAGCTCTTTTCTTCCCACTATGCCATATGCCATGTCACTAATCTAAAGGACATTAAGTCACTCATTGTCCCCTCTGAGCCTGACTTTGCCCATCAGAAGGAGATTGGATCAGATCACCACCAAGGTTCTCTCCCTAACATTTCATGGTGATCTCGCCATGGCAGCATGTAGCTTTAGATCATTAGGCTACACTAAGAGCCAGGTCTTCAACCTGCCCTGGGGTCAGGAAAGCCCTCACGGGTCTTCTGTAACAGCAGCCAGGGATACGGTTTCTAACCTCTGGGAAGGCAGTCACTGAGGCTGCTCTGCCACACCGCCCGCTGCTGTGTACAAACTGCTGGCCGTCAGTCTCCGTCCACTGTGGGGAATCACTCGCAAAAGGAAACACCTTCTTCTGCCAAGGCTTCGGGTGGGGCTAGAAAAACCGTTCATGACAACACTGAATCAGCACATGCACCAGGGTCAAATTCACAGTCAAAGAGGACTGTAAGAGGCCCTGGTTGACAAGCAGCCTCCAGCAGAGGCCTCTTCAGTCTTGAAGGGAAAGGAATCAGAATGCCCAAATCCATACTAGAGATCGGCGGTGGCAGGGGAATAAGCACCATGCTCCAATTAGGGATCTCCTCTTAAAGTCTCAGAGTTCAAATTAGAGCCAAAAAAGAAAAAGCCAATTAAATTTATGGACTTTGTCACCCCAAGAGGTAATATAAGTTCAAAACTGATTTTTCAAAAGTTGCAAAATGAATTACGTGAAAATGGGCTCTTTGGGAGGTATGTCTACACTACTGAGGCTATGTTGCCAAGGCCAACTGGGTTCTCCCAAAATGTGGACAGCGAAGTTTGTCAGATTCCTGGGGCTGGCGAGATCATGGATCTGACCCAGTGTGACATTTATGGGCATATTAAGAATCAACATCTTTTCTCTTAACAGTGTTATTTTGTTGCCTGAATCCCCAGGGTCAAAACAAGAATCCTTGGCTGGCCTCTGAAAGCACTGTGACTGCTTTACTAACCTCTGAAAATATGTGGCTTCTTCTCCTCTCCAAGGGCAAATATACTGAGAATTCTTACGATATTTCTCTGTAAGACAGGAAATGACAGTCCAGGCATAGCGGTGGGGACTGCAGCAGTCAAGTGGGACCCAGTGACATAAGCCTCCCTCCTCAGTTCTTCCTAAGATCACACTTTGGTTTTTCACACAACATATATTTATTCAGAAAAAAAAATTGCAATAAATTATAATAAAAAAGATGACATGAAATACAGAATCCCACTAGCAGCTTTGCCTAGTGACCAAGACATTTGGGGAAAATACAACAAACAATTACAGAATAAGAATCAGGAAACAGTGAAAGGGAGACTAATAGCAACATCACCACGTGGGGTTGAACTGCTTCTTCCCTAAAACGATAGATTCAGAGTCCTTCCCTACCAGCCGGATCTAAACTCCTTACTTCAGAGGCGCTAGGAAATAGTACATGAGAGGCACTCAGGAATTAGAGGGTGGGGCTGGAGTAGGCACAGCAGGGAAACAGATTTCTTCTGTCTGCTCTATTTCTTGTCCCCCCTCCCTAGAGATTGTCTAAAACCCTCAACCCTGTGTACATCCCAGGACCAGAGCTGGAAGGAAGGTTGAGGCAGTAAATCAACTGAGTGCATCTGCCTTCTGAAGAGTGAGCCGGATGCTGCACACACAGCCCCACTCACCACATCCCTGACCACCCGAAGGCCCCGGGTGGCAGCAGACTGGGAAATGTGTCTAGGACAGGCATTTCCCTTTGTGTTACGACCTTGCTCCAGCTTCTATCATCTGCCTCTCCAGCGATCCCTTTCTGGACTAGTGGAGATGACAACACTGTTCTTCTGCTCAGTCTGCCATTAACTAAGTTCAACACCCAGCCCCTGGCCTAACAGATCTGCAGCTATTTGGCAACCAATAACTTGACTCCTACTTCTGTAATTCCCAATCAGGAAAGGCTTTAGCCAGAATATCACAGGATACATACCTTTTCTTCCCCCAAAGGACTCAATGCATAAGAGATGGGGGAATTGGAGAACCACTCATGGCGGTGCTTCCACAGCTCTCTCCTTTGATGCTCTAGAAGAGTCAATGCCCAAGACCACACACAGAGCCTATACATGAGGCTCCTGGGAGTTCATGTGAACATGTGACAATGAGTCAACTCAGGGTGGTTTTAATGAAAGAAAACCAGGAGGAAGCTAACTGCATCAGGCAGTTTTGCAGTCAGTGGCTGGTGGCTGGTTTGCCAACCAACACAGATTAATTTTCTTAAAAAAGGGCTGCCCCGCAGGAGCTTGAGTAAATGACAAGCTCAGAAGGTTGTCTTGGGTGGGAGAGAAGGTGCTTGGTTCATCCTACTGCACAGTCTCTTTTACACAGCACTGGAGAAGGTGACTGGGAGCTAAGGGCAGCTGGTTGTAGAGCCCAGAGTCAGTCCTGATGAGGGAGTGGGTGACATCTGCCCCTGGTACTTCAGAAGACTGGAGAGGGGGGTTCTAAGGGTTACCCTCAATGCCCCTGCTGGGGGAAGGAGCAGTTTCTACAGAGAGGCCCACTTGAGGTGCAACCTCCCTTTTTGACTGTGGTACAAGTGTTGCTCTGGAGGTGGATTTCTAAGTGGGGGATGGGCCCCACAGACACCCAGGATTGGTTCGCATGTAAACTTTGAGTAAGAACCAAAATGGATGGTAGGAAGCAGGACCTGTTGAGCATGAATATTCTCACTCTTGAACACTCAAAGTGCTTCCACTCTGACTGTGATTCTCTCACATCAATGAGATGTCATCTCTAACAGTCCCTAACATTCTGCTACTAAGTGTGGTCTGAGACAAGAGAATATGGTTCCACCCATTGCAGATCCATAATAGGCCAATGTTAGAGAAATGTACAGATGCCATTGTAGTAGAGATGCACAAATGCATGTAACAACCACATGGAGATGGTTAACTCACTTTTGGAGACACCCAAGCAGTCACTAGCTTCACCCAGACTTCTTTTGACATGATAGTATTAGCAGAGTAGAGAGCAAAGAGGGTGATACGGGGAGGGGGTGGGGCCAAAGTGCTTTAGACGAAGGACTACATACAAGTCTGAGCTACAGCAAGTAGTGCTTGTAGGCCTAGAACGGGAACATCTCAGAGTTTAGGCCTCGGGTGCTAAGGACAATCATGACAGCTGGGCAGGAGGGCAACAAACACATCCCCGGGTAAAGGAGTGTAAATACAGATTTCTTTGCCTTACAAAGAGAGAACAGAAAAACACCAAAATATGGTAACTTTGGCTTGGCAATATAAGTCTAAAAGTATCTTGCTGTGTAGGTAAGGGAGGGATTAGGAAACTCGCTTCCTTTCGCACTAGAAACAGAACTTTTTCATGCCAACAGCCTCAAAATTCTGCAACAGACCCTTCCTGTGGCATATCTTTTCAAATCATTCTGAAATACTTGGTGCCCAAGATCTTCCGCCTCTAGAATCTTGTAGAGTAGTAAGAGGAAAAGGCTTATTATTAGTCTTCATCACTCCCAAGCAGAAAACTCAGAAGGAACTGGGTAGCACGCTGGCGGTCACTTGGAGTCTGTCTTGCCATAAGGTTGGGTGGAGGCCTTAGGAGGAGACTAGTGAAGAGAGTAGCTAGAGGGCGAGACAAAGAAAAGGGGAAAACCCTTGGTCAGACACAACCTAAGTGAAGCCTCAGGGATGGGGGCTAGGGGGGCCAGGGGATGAGGGCAGTGGGAGGAAGTGACTGCCGCAGGCCTGGACACTAGGGAGGGAATACACGTGTGCACTGTACACGGACCGTCCTGACCAACGCCCCCGTGTGGCCGTTCTTAGGAAGTGCTCTTACCGATCATGTTGGCGCTGACGTTGTTGTGCTCAGTGAATTTTAACAGTTCTCGAAGGAATGCCATCAAGTAACGAAAAACATTTCTATGGCATCCTGGAAGCTGGGAAATCACCTGTTTTTTAAAAAAGGGGGTGGGCAGTGAGGATAACAGGTGGAGGAAGGGAGTAAGAAGAGCTCACAGCTGCCATAAAAGCAGTTTATAATCCAACCCTTACAGGACTCCTCCTTTATTTACTCATGACCAATATAGTACCTGTCAAATGATAACTCCTGAGGCAGAATGCTCATCCTGTTTGGCCCCTGTCCACTCAACGAGCAAGTCACGCAGTTACCACACATTCGCATGCACGCCCTGCCTCAGGAGCAGACGGCTGTTAGCCTGGCCTTTTCCCATCTCCCTAGGCAGGTGGCTGTGGTTTTCTCTGCAATGGCATTTAGCATGGGTGGCAGCACCTCCCGATACTCACTAGTCTGATTCAGAGGTATTCTCAGCTATTGTGCATCAAAATCATTTCAAGATTAAAAACAAACACCAAGAAGACAAAAAGAAAGGCTCACAAGTGTCACCCACCCTTCCTGGTCATGTCATCCAGAATCCCATGTACGATCTGTTTCACTAATCTTACCCCAGAGTAGAGGTATCCACCCTACTCAATAGGTCAACTGGAAAAGGGTGGCAAATATAATAGGAAATAACACAATCTAAAATTTAAGGGTCCCAACTCTCAATGCTGGTGCCCTGCCATGAACAACAGATCCAGACCCATCCTATCACATAGCTGGATGCCCAGCTGGTTTGGTAAAAATCAATGATTTCTCTGTGGGGGAATATGCCTCAAACACACTCTCAGAGCCATAAAATTCACCTGTCGGCAGATCCGGGGATCCTGAGCAGAGTCGAGGCATCGCTGATAGAGCTCATAGCAGATGACAGGCTCTGGCAGGGCTTCCAGGAAAATGAGCAGCGCCTCAGCCACTGAGTGATTACTGCCAGCTGGATTGACTCCCGTCAAGTGAAAGAGGCTCCAAGGAAAAGGCCACGCTTAGACCCGATTTTCTCCCTTCCTCAAGCTCCCTCAGGTACGGTTTCCTTCCTCTTATTCAGAGCACCCTGATCCTAATTGGGGTTTGATATTTTATTGGTCCAGGTATGCTGCAGCTGAGTTGTTACAGAATTGATCAAAGACTTTTGGGAGGTTTGGCCCAACTTGAAAGTCAAGGGAATGTGGCCTGTAGAATGACAGTTCACACTGGAAACTAGTCACCACCGTTTCCCATCCTCCTCCCTGTCCTGGTGACAGGAGTGATCATTGGCTTAAAGCAGAACAGCACCATGGCTGTGGGTCCTATGTCCCATGCCAATTAAAAGTCGTCATTATCTAACCCTTGATTCCTTTTAGTAAGAGTCTGATAAGGAGAGAGGTTGAAAGTTCCTGAGAGGAATTAACTGTATAGTCAATGATTACCTTATAATAAAAGACAGCTACAAAGAAAATAAAGATGGAAAAAAAATCAAATGTAGGTGGGAAGAAGAGTTTGGGCAAGTACACATCCAGCTTCCTAAGCCTTTGTCGAAAAGGATACGGATTGTCTTGGGAATGCTGGTATCCAGACAATCAATGATCTGCTGTAACTCCTCCTGCATTCCAGGAGTTTGGAACAGGTCCTCCTACCAAAGAGGTCACAATGAATGGAACACAGCAAAATGATCAGCACTAAGGTTCTGACGATCACGCAGGGATCAGGAGAGCAGCAGGAAGCAAAGGGCAGGGTGAGGTGCATATTCGTGATTAGGAACACGAATATGTTCCTAATATATAAAAGGTGTGACAATGGCCCCTTTTCCCTTTATCATCTCTATAATCCGTCTGAAATTTTATTTCAAACTAGAAAATTATCTTCAAAGGTTTCAGCCTGTACCTGATATGGCAGGGGACTAGAGGACTCCATGGGGAGAACAGGTGTTCCCACTTCTAGCCTCCTGACAAGTAGAAGGCAGAGTCCAAACATGGAACCACATTCAAATACTGATACACAGAATGCTAGGGCAGGAGTAAAAGGGCATGTCCATACCAAACCTTGCCTTCAAGTTCTTCACTTTTCCATAGGTAAGACAACATTATCTTTCAATTTAATCCCAAGAAAGTTTTCTTTTTTGGAAGAATGGGTTAGGGGTGGCAGGTATTTTAGGTAGGATTGAAAAGTGAGGACCAAATTAAAGAAATGGGCTTGAAGTTTGCTTTGGACTTTGAAATCTGCAATGCTTCCATGACAGCTAAAGCAGGCGTTACAGATTCAGGTGCTCAGCAGTCCAGGGGAAAGCATGTGTAGCCAGGAGACAGGGGAGTTGTTCGGCCCTGCTCCGCCATTACTCTTAGGCCGTGGTCTTAGGTAAATCACCTAGCTTGCATGCTTCAGCTCTCACATCTGCAAACGGGGATACTTCCATCTGCCCAGGCAATCTGATATGACAGTGTTGCTCTGCGGAGGTGGCTTGGGAAAGTTAAAAGCACTGTATATACTGACGTGAGGTATTATCATTTCCCACTGGACTCACACACCTTCCAAAGTTGCAGGGCAGGCCCACTCTCACTCACCTGGTGACAGGCGTGTCTGAATAAGTGATCTACCAGGAGCCAGATCTCCTTGGGGACCTTAAGAGGTTTCTCACTGGCACCTTCATCCAAGGGAACCATCTGCAGCAGGGATTTCTCCTAATAGATAAAAAGGGGTGAGAATCAAAAGGGTCTCAATGAAAATTTCTATGTGTAACAATCTCCCTCAAATTCTGCTTATGTGGGTATAATCTGATCTTCACCTCTTAAGACTTTTCATTTTTTCTCACTGGGACACTCCTGGTCAGAAGGCACTCGATACGGATTCCCACAGTTAAATGATCTCCTTTTCTAGATGCTTCACTTAACCATTAAGCATTCCACTTGGGTTTATTATGTTTATCACGTGGATGCATTGTGTGCTGCAAATCCTTTCAAGGGTGACACTGAGAACCAGCAATACAGTCACAGTAGAGCCCACACACCACTGGAGACTCATGGACCATTAAATTACAATTGTCAACAGAGCACTTTGAGAGAGCAGCATCTACTTAGGTTTTTGTTGACTTTTTTTTGTTGTTGTTGTTGACTTTTAACTTTTTCTTCTTTCAGGTCTTACCACAAATATCAGAGCTTGCATTGTTGATTTAAATGATGTTCTCTGGTCCTCAGGAATGAAAGACAATTCACATTAGACCTACATATATGAATATTTCAGGCTTGATAGAAGGACTAATCTTTTTTCTTTTTGGCAGTACGCGGGCCTCTCACCGCTGCGGCCTCTCCTGTTGCAGAGCACAGGCTCCGGATGCGCAGGCTCAGCGGCCATGGCTCATGGGCCCAGCCGCTACGTGGCATGTGGGATCTTCCCGGACCGGGGCACGAACCCGTGTCCCCTGCATCGGCAGGCGGACTCTCAACCACTGCGCCACCAGGGAAGCCCAGAAGGTCTAATCTTAAGGCACTAAAACTCAAAGTCTTAAGATACAAAAATAGTAAACTGAATACAGCATACCAAGAGCCAGAAATACCACGAAAAGTCTAGGCTCTGAGTCCAGAAGTTATTCTTTATAGTAATAGCTCAGCAAAGAATTCTTGGGGCTTTGACTCCTTTCACCTAACTTTCTACTCTATGTTAGAGTCTCCTGAAAGAATCTCAGAGGAAAACTCAGAAGTGACCTAAATTAGATCAGTAACTAAATCTGAACTTGAAAATGGGGAATAAATTCAATTATCTTATGTTTATATAGTCAAATATAAATTATACCAAAAAGATATCTGAAATAGCTTAAAAGGCATCTGAAGGCAGCCTTCATAAAAAATCTAGTGGGGAAAATGGTGACCAATTTTTGGCATCTTCCCCCTCCTACACCTCCGGCTTAAGGTCATATATATGTTCAAATTTAGGAAATGCTGTAAATTTGATCCACAACCCTTATTTAGCCATGTCACTTTAAGGGAAAGAAGAGAAGCATTTCATTACTTCCAGATAGTGTGTACACTAGAACAGAGCAGAGGGTTCTTCTTGACGTTCTGTTCTTCAATACGCACTGGTGACCTTTTAAAGCCACTGTGCGCCTTTCTAAGGGAATAAGGAAGAGAAGGCAGCATGACAGTTGGTTATCATTTAAAATCTATCTTCTTCACATTTGTTTTGCTTCCTTTCTTTCTTTCCCTGGGAATCTATCACTTGATATTCACGTTTCCTATAGTTGCCAGACCTTCTATCAGTGGCTCACCCACTAACTTCTTTCCAGTTGCAAGTATTAAATCCAGGCATCTAGATGATATCTGAGCCAAAACACTGTCCATAATGCACTCTGCTCACTTTCTGGACCAAGTGCAACACCAGTACAGATTCCTTAGCAAACACCTTCAAACTTACCATATATAAATTATTCAGTACTGATTCATGTACTTTTTAAAAAATCTGACATCCAATTATCACTCTTCCTGTACTAAGGCATTAAGGCAACACAAGGCACTGTTCAAGATGAAAAGACACATGGCCTGCTATTAACAGGGAAGGGCTGGGAAGCAGAGCCGTCTCAATCCTTAGTGGTTTCAAAAGGTTAATAAAATGCCAGTAGGTTATATACACCATCCACTATCCATTTTCAAATTCATGTGTGATAATATGAAATGTCATACTTGTACCTCTGAAGTCTCGAGAAAGATTATGCACAAGAAACAATACTTCTTTTTTTAAAAAGTCCACAAATTATCCTGAACTCTAATTTTCAAAGGGAAACCTGCCATGCTTTGTCTTCTTCTTTCAATGGGACACATTTAGTGCCTGATAAGCTCACACTCTGTAACGTTAGTGCTATTAACTGAAGCACAAAAACAGTACACCATCTCCACCAACAAACTGCATTAAACTCCAGCAAATGGGGAGGTCACGTTAGATACTGTGTGAAAGTACTTTAAGAATGTTTTTCACGCCCATGTTTCTCTACTGGATGGCCCTGTGTGGAGCCAGGCACCCTCCAGCTTGAAGATGGGGAGGTGGTGAAGCACCGCAGAAGGAGCGTTCGCTCGGTTCCTTCACTGGGTATTCAGAAGACCCAGGTTCTAGTTCCCTCTGCCCCATGCCCCTGATGTCAGGAGCAGTATAACTTCAGCGAGGTTTTTAACCTTCTTGGGCCTTGGTTGTCTATTAGAATGGAGAAGACACCTTACCCTGTCTGAAGGCAGGGAGCTCTACCAGACGATCCCTTATGATCTCATTCAGCTCTAGGATTCTCGTCTATGATCTATTTCTTGATCATACCTGTGTATTCTTTCAGTAATTAATCACTATTATCACTTCCCCCAAATCACTCTTAATGCAACAGAAATTCATTTCTGCTTTTACTATCATCGGAAATGGAAAATGGCAAACGGTACCCTCCTCCATCTCACAAGCTTTCACATACATCAAGACAGCTCTTTAGTTACTTCTTATTTCAAAAATACAAATCTGAAACCTTGAGTCCTATTGCTTTTATGTACTGGGTCTCAATGACTTGACTGGTGCAGTAAAATAAATACCTTTCCTGTACTTCAGACACACTTAAAGACAGCTGGCAGGACTTTGGGGGATTCTCATGGAGTCAGAGGTGTCTGATATGGGAAAGCCTCGGGATAAATTCCAGGGACGAGGGCTTCCCTGGTGGTGCAGTGGTTAAGAATCCGCCTGCCAATGCAGGGGACACGGGTTCGAGCCCTGGTCTGGGAAGATCCCACGTGCCGTGGAGCAACAAAGCCCGTGCACCACAACTACTGAGCCTGCACTCTAGAGCCCGTGGGCCACAACTACTGAAGCCCACATGCCTAGAGCCCATGCTCCACAACAAGAGAAGCCACCGCAATGAGAAGCCCACACACCGTAATGAAGAGTAGCCCCTGCTTGCCGCAACCAGAGAAAAGACCGTGTGCAGCAACGAAGACCCAATGCAGCCAAAAATAAAATAAATAAAATAAAAATAAATTAAATAAATTAAAAAAAAATTCCAGGGACCATGGCTAAATGTTAATCAAGCACAGGGAAACACATAACCACCAATGGATTGCATTACCTTTTCTAGGAAGCTGTCTTCTTCCTGAGAGCAGAGCAGGAAAAGAAAGTCATTGACAGATAGAAAATGATTAGAATTAATTTACAGAATTAGAAACAGATCAGTATTATTAGAATGCACTACCTCACTAGATACATTTTAAATTCTTCAAATAGATCATGATTGTTGAAAATGGAACACATTCTCATATGCAAAGTTCTCTATCATGCGTATTCAAATTTTGTGCAGTATATTGAGACTATCCGTCAAGAAACATACATGTCCAGTCCTAGACTTTTGTGTCCTTTGGCAGCTGCCAGCTGAGCCAGCCAGACACCCACTGATATTTCCTTTTCCCGTGCTGCCTGGAGGCAGGCCCTGTCGCTATACTGTGTGGCACCTCGCTCACCCTGACGCCACTTCAGTGGAAGAATTTGGCTGTGAGCCCGACAGCGGCCATTCAGGAGATGGTAAGCTTCTCTCCTCTCCACTGCCATGCCTCTCACCACCAAAGCTAGCCTCCCAAGCAGTATCTCACACTCCTTTCCATTGCCCGGTACCCTCTCCCCTCCTCAAGGGCCCCTAAAGTCCTCAAATATGGAAGTCCCTCTGAAATGCAAATTCATTTCATTTCAGACCTTTGTGGACCATAAGATCCATCATTATCCCCTACTGGGTTTTCCTATAGAGGATAAGAGAAGAAAGAGAAACAGGGGAGAGGGAAGAAGGTACCTTTTTAATCGCCTCTGTCTTTTGTGCTATTATTACAATGTAACAATGACAACAGCGACAGTAACTACTGCCACCACTTAGGAGGCATCTGCCATGTAGCAGTAACTGCAATGGGCTCTTATACAATGTCATTTAGTCTGCACATATGCACAAAGTAGATATTATTCCCGTTTTACAGATGAGGAAACTGAGGCTCTGGGAGATTAAATCATTTGCCCACAGTCACACTATTAGGTATTAAGTGGCAGAATCAGGATTAGAACTCAGGTCTGACTGACTCCACAGTCATTACCACTATGCTCCCTTAGATAACTTGAAAAGGATAAACTGACTGCTTCTTAGACAGAGAGGCAGGGGAAAGCTTGGAGAATGTATTCTACTCCCAGCAGGCTAAAGACAGTTATAAGGCAGCAGGGTTAGTGGAAAGAGTACAGGCATGGGTGTCAGACAGTCCTGGGTACAAATCTTCATGCTACCTCTTATTATTTTGTACAGACTGCAGGCAAGTTAGTAAACTTCATAGAGACCCAGTTTCTTCATCTCTATAACAGGGATAATAACATTTACCTCACAGGGACACGGAAGCAGTCTACAACACAGGGGGTGTGGGGCAGTGGTGACACAGTATGCCAGAAGCAGGCCTGGTCTCTCAAAGCTCCCTGCACCTCCCCAGCAACTTCCAACCCCGCCATGGGCCGCCAAGAACTTGGATATAAATCCCACGTCTCGGTCTGAGAGTAAAAGGAAAAATCCTGATCTTACCTTCACAGATGTGCAGGAGGTTGGAGGTGGGGAAATATGTGTTCCCTGATACTCCAAGTAGTAATGCTGAATGCATTTGTCCCAAATGACTGTTATATATGCTGGGTAGGGTTTTTAGTATTATTA